GCCATTCTAAACCTGCTCTGGCGCCAAAACACTCTCGATTGTCGAAACGCAATCTTCAGTTGTGATGACAAATTTTTGAAAGGCGGGGAAGCTGAGGCCATTTTGGCGGCGAGTACGAACGGTATTTGCACGATGAGACAAGATTCTGCTCCAATAGCCATACCGTATTTTTAATTTGGCATTCGCAGCGACACCCAGAGTCCGTCAGTTATCGGTGACAATCTAAAATTTGCACTCCGAGACAACATGCCGTTCGTTGCCACAGTCCAAAGTAATAGAGTGGGCACAGCTCAATATTTGCTCACCACATCTAGGAGATTAGTTCGCACAGCTAATGGCGTTGCTTGTCACGCTGAGAGCAAACGCATTAGCTCTCACAACTAACATTTTGCTGAAACAGCTTACGTATTTTTTTCCGTTCGGGTTGGCACTACCCGACTCGGGTGTCGGCGCCAAAAGCCTAGGCAGATGTATGCCAGGCGCGTAGCAACGTTACAGTGTTTCGTGAGATATCGTGAAGCCCGTTACGCGAGACGTGGGCTGGCGTACATCTACCCAGTACATTATTCAAATTAAGGGCTGCCAGCGGCAGCGTAAGCCATAGGTCTGTAAAATAGGCATCAATATCGATAAAATGTGCACTACGCGATATAACAGTAGATACTTTTAGTTATATAGGACATAATACAAAGTCGGGAAAACAAAAACCCAATAGGGTGTTCCAGGCTATCGAAAACGGAAGTGAAAAAGAACAAACTCCCTGATTCATCTGTTTCCGTCCGCCCAGTATGAGAAACTACCATAGTAGTTTGGTCCGATCCTAACCTCTCAAATATGGAGGGGAGCTCGAAACTGATCTGACATTTTCTCATACCTGAAAGGCCGCGGAGGCACGTGATTAGTTCGACCAATCAGAGCCATTGCGGAAACAGAAAGGTCAGTGAGTTTGTTCGTATCTACTTTCGTTTTAGATTGCCTATAACACACTATTGAAGCTTTATAAGGATCAGACCTCATTCATGATTCAAATTAAATTGCAAATAATAATACTAACTGTTGCGGGAGTACAAATATTAATTTGCGAGCGAAGCGAGAGCGACAATTGAACGAAGGGTGCTACAGGGTGCAGTACGGCGTTACCCGAGGAAAGGCGAGCGAAGCGAGCAGAAAAATATCTGAGCCATAGGGCACGAAACTATTCCGTTAGGATGCTGAAATGTGCCTTCACTAACGCCAAAATGCAACAAGGGTACACTTTTATGCTTCATTGGGGCAAAGTTTGGCGGAATGGGTGCCCCCGAAGACCAAAATAGTGAGAATAATGAGTTTTTACCAAAAAAGGTGAGTATAAGTGAGTTTTTTCAAAAAAGTGAGACAAAGTGAGAAAAGTGAGTTGCTGGCAGCCAGCGGCATCTGTATTACTAGGTAGACCACGTCGCGCGTAACAGGCTTCGCGATATCTCACAAAACACTGTTACGCTGCAACGCGCCTGGCATACATCTACCTAAGCCTGCGGCATTCCCAATAGGGTATTTCGGGTAAGCGGAGCGGCGGAAACGGAACTGCCCAGTCCACCGCTGGTTGCATCTCTGCCGCTGATCCGCGGGGGAGAGGGGGAGGCGGCGGGGCGACGCAGCGTCTACTGCGCATGCGCAGTTCGCAGGCTGAGACGGGTCCAGCAGCGGCTCGGCCGTTCCGTTTCCGCTTCTTCCCTTACCCGAAATACCCTATTCGGGCAAAGGGCACAGTCGTAAATAGGCCTTCGGCCAGTACTTTTGTTCCTCGGGGTTTCAGTTTAATTAGTTGATTAGTAATTCTAATTAATTTGTAAATCGAATGGTGCTTGAAGTTGGTTGTTTGGAGCTCACCCCGGTGAAATCAGGTAACGGAGTGACTTTACTTGTCATACAAACAAGTTTTAATAGGGTATTCCGCTGCAAGCCAACCGGAACCTAAAGAAGAAAAGCATGACTGCTCGATCTGTTTCCCTCTGCGCGCTCATTGGTTGACCGCCACAGCCACGCCATCTTTGGCCAATCAGCGTTCAGGAGGAAACAGATCGGGTAGTCATGCTTTTCTTCTGTATGTTCCGATTGTGTTGTAGCGGAATGCCCTATTAGTTTAATATCTAGCAGATTTGACCTGTATAACATTGATATAGAATTTGAAGGTCTTAATCCTAAAATTGCGCTGGTTGTAGAGTTTGCGTCTATTCCCAATAATGACAAAAACAGCGGTCCACCAGTCGAACCCAGTGAGAAATTGGTCGTCGATTCGACGTGGATTCGACGTCGATCGGTGGATGATTCGGGAAGTCGAAATATTGGTCGAATAATTTAGTAATTCAACTAACCGTTTTAGAAGTTTAATCGACCTGTCTGTGTGTTAGTTAAGTGTTCCAGAACGTTGTATCGTGATTCTGGTGCCAAACGTCTATTTTTCGAGAACTTTGACAATGAGGCGAATCGACGTCGAACTGATGTCGAAACGCTTATTAGTCGTCATCGATTCCACGGCGAAATCGACATATAAAATTTTCGTTCGTTTGACTAAAATTCTATAATATTTTTTTGAGTATTACGTGTAAAAGTGCGTGGCAGATGGTGGTAAAGTCCCCCGATCCCGCTAAGCTCGCAACCCCGCGCTCTTTCATTTTTTCGGAAAACTTAGCGGCAATGCCGGTACGCACATTGAATTAATCTTAGCTCTCGCTGATGAACCGTCACGCCCGATTAGCCATAGGTGAGAGGGATTTCTGCATGTAGCGCACATGCTGGATGTTGTGCGCTTTCTGCCTGTAGGTGAACGGCGCTGATTTTTGACTTCCGCGGCGTCTAGCGGATTCTGCCAACCTATAGATATTCTTTACTCACCGACACATCCGTACGAGCAGAAAGTTTCGACGTCGATTCGATAGACCGCATTTCGACGTCGAATCGATGTAGATCGACGTAGATGATTCATTGATATTTTAGGCATAGATCCGGTGATTCGATGTAAATTTCGACGTAATTTTCGATCTACGGATCGACGTCGAATCCACATCGAATCGATGACCAATTTCTCTCTGGGAAGTTACTGAGTTGGTCGAGTTGATGTCCCAAGTTGGACTTGATTTTAATAATTCTGTCATCTCAAAATTTTTCGTCGGAAATCTGGATTTTGATAGTGACGTTGAGGCGATTTGTCAATTTTATGATAAACTTCCTTGGTGCATGGTAGACAAGAAAATTGCTTGTAGGAGTTTATTTTGCCGTCAGCAGCATCTTGTCAGTGTTGGCGGCTGCGTCGAGCTGAGTAACGTGTTTTACGTGACCTAATTGACATTATTGCTTATAAGATCACTGTGTTGGTTGTTAATTAGCGTAGAAAAAAACAATTGTAAGTTTCATACATTGTGTATAATGCATGAAATGCATGATTTTGGTATTATTTTGTCTTAGCATGTTTGCATGTAGGCCTTTTTGTTTTTCATCTTTGCGCTCTCTTTTGTCTTCATCTTTCTCTTTCATGCCCCCCCCCCCCTTGTCATCTTTCTGGGATGGTATAAGTACCGGTTTTCCATAATGCAACTGTCTACTCCTGTCAAACGTCTGTCGTGGTCTGTCGTGTCATGCAGTTTCGCTTGTTTCTTAGTGCCAGTGAGTTTTTGTTGCAGTTGTGTTAAGCAAGGTTAGTCTGTTATATTATTTAGCGGTGTTTAAATATGGGTTCATTTTCGTGTCTGTTGCCATTTGTGTTAATGTTATATAGGCTGTGACTAGGTTCAGGCTTCCCATGCTCGCGCAACGTTTCGTTTTTATTTTGTCGTGCTGATATCTAGCATTAATTTACATTTTTTTACTCTGTTTGCTGCATTTCATTATAGTTGAATAGAAATTGGCGGTAGATAGCGCAGTGCTTCTTTTGATCGAAACCTCATAAACGCGTGTCATGTGGGCCGTTATTCCATGTTGTTAACCTAGCTAATCACGTGGTTCAATTTGCACGTTGCTTTCCTTATTTCTTTCTATCATGAGTTTCTTCACATTTGTTTATTATTTCTTTCTATCATGAGTTTCTTCACATTTGTTTATTATTTCTTTCTATCATGAGTTTCTCCACATTTGTTTATTATTTCTTTCTATCAGGAGTTTCTTCACATTTGTTTATTATTTCTATCTATCATGAGTTCTTCCCATTTCTTTATCATGCTTTCATTGTAATTGGGTCTGTGAATTTGGGTTTACATTTTATCCAATGCTTTCGGACGATGAACGTATATGCATGCTTTTTCATTTGTTATATAGTTAAACGGTACTCTTGTCTTGTGAAGCCATTGAAGGTAATGTGAGG